CTTCTTCTGCCCCTCTTCTGTGGTTTTCTACTTAACGTACGAGTACACGTGACGAGCTGGAACAAAAATACAATCAAATAAAATTAACCGCCTCTGTGGTCTAGTGGTAGGACCACCACCACCTGATTCAGACGCAGAGGTCCCGGGTTCGATTACCAGTGGGGGCAGATTTTTCTGTTCAGTTTGGTTGGTGGTAGGGCTTGTTCTAAGTCCGCCTGGCTAGCTACCACCATCTTACCTAAGTCTGTCGCCATAACAACAATGTTAACAGCATTGTTGTGTTCCGGCAGTTAGAGGTAAGATAGCCAGTTCCTCAGTGGTTGAGAATTCCGGGTGAAGCTCGCTTCCACCTTCGGCCTGATCGTCACTAACCATCAGGTGAGATACAGGCCAAGAGCTTCCTCGTTGTGGATAAAAAAAATGGTGATCACAAAAATATAATTAAGTATACTCGTAGTCTATGTTTGTTCGTTCGTTTCAGCCAAATGACGTCCACTGCTGGTCAATTGACTGGTGCCTAATACGAGTACCCTACTACAATCCGATCGAACGAACTGCGCACTACGCTGGAATTCGAGTCTTTCTTGCACTCACCTCCCGGCTTTCACCCCATCCGTACCAGTGTCGATGTGACGTCACGGTTGCCAAGTGCGCAGTTAACTGACCGGGTTGTAGTCAACTACTATAGTCGTTTCAGAACTACTACTATAGTCTGGTCTGTGAGCACGTAGAATTTTGTCCAATGACCCCAAGCTATCCATCCTTATCGCTCGCGCGTAATTATGTTGCTGTCGCGACTGTGCGACGGGCGCCCGCAGTGAGTGTGCGAGCGCGACAGCAACATAATTACGTGCGAGCAATAAGGATGGATAGCTTGGGGTCATTGGACAAAATTCTACGTGCTTACAGACCGGGCTTTATATTAGATTTTTGTGTACTCTTAACTTACATTCCCACGATTCTTCTGGCTGGACAGGCACTTCATCAGTCTCGACTTTATGAACTATAGGGACTGCTGCTCCAACACTGTGGCTACCGTAGAAGTGAGGCCAGGCGTTGCCATAGGTTGGTTCTCCCGTGGTTATTCCGTATTCGGTGGTACATAGCGCTAATTGGGGGGGCATGCATATCTGGAAGAATAAACGATGATAACACGGTTCTAAGTAACATGGTAACAGGCAGAAATATGTTAATGCCACCAATAGAATTTTCATATATTTGTGTGCAAGATGAGCATTATAAGTCTTGCACTGTATAAAAATTATATTAGATCTCATGCAGAACCATGCTTTTAACTGTACACCTCGGTCAAAATAATATGTCGTGAAATGGGCCAAATGTCAATTCACTGTTCATTTGACTGATTGACTGCTGTGTAGTAGAGGTAGAGAGAAAGAAAGAAAGAAAAAGTATTTATTAGATGCAAGTACAAAACAAAATAAACATGCACCAAAATTGCATCAGCTCAGTATAAGCCGTGACGGCAGAGAGCGCGTCACGACCACTGGTATTCTGCGGATGCCAGTTTAGTTAGGAGTTTAGTGAGTTAGGACTTTCAGGGTGCTAATGCACGTCCCAAATATAGCTTGAGATAAATAAATACCATCAACTCAGGGCAACATAGTAACGGATGATACTGAAAATAAATCAAATGTCTACCGCAACTCCTGGCCAGGATCTGAAGGTTAACCAATAAAACTCTGCCAGTGAAGGCTGAGTAGTCCCAGGGGATAGCTGACTGTCTTGAAACCCCTAATGAATTTTGTGTTTCGAGAACTACCAATTTCAATTACCAACTGGAAGTAATATAGCCAGTTCCTCTGTGGTTGAGGATTCCGGGTGAAGCTCGTTGTTCGTCTGTTGATGATGAATAGTCATAGTAAAATACAGTGATACCAACTTCATCATCATCATGCACGTCCACAGCTGAACATGGGCCTCCCCCAAAATTTTCACATCGCCCGGTTGGCAGCGGCCTGCATCCAGCGCTTACTACCTTTATGGGGTCGTCGGTCCATTTTATGAACGTCCTACTTACCAGTAGGTACTTACCAAATGTCGATGACTGAATTCCATGTAGTCATGACATCTCTTATGCCTCATCCTTCCTCTCTCGCATTTGTAGTACCTCGAACAATCTTTGGGATCAGGGTATATGTCCCAGTCAAAGCATAAATACTGATTTATCAACGAAGGAGGATCTCTGTCCACTAAAGGTGAATGTTGGTGTGGTTTGCGTGGTTTGCACCATGGACATTTAATTGTATTGGTATTATCGCCTGAGCTGGTCACTTCTGTAGTTTCTTTGTCTTCTTGTGTTTTGTAATTTTCCGATGATGTAGTTTGGACTTTTTCTGAACTGACTGTTTCTGGTGTTTCTTCTTTTTCTTCTGGCGTCTCAGTTTCTTCTTCTTCTTTTCTCTCAACTTCTGGTGTACTTTTATCTTCTTGCGAATCACTTTTGGGTGATTTTTCTTCTGAATTCCGAAATTCTGCTGCAGTTGTTTCGTTGACCGTTTTATCGTCTTCAGCTGATGTGTCTACTGTAGCATTAACGTTAACTTCCGATGTTTGGTTGTATATTTCTATTGTTTTATCTTCTGAAGTATCAACATCAACTGTCGCATTTTGTTCATTAGATTCTGAGCTATCAACTGCTATTATAGAATTATTGACATTATCTTTTGAGCTATCGACATTTGATTCTGAGCTATCAACTGCTATTATAGAATTATTGACATCATTTTCTGAGCTATCGACATTTACTGTCGCATTGTTTTCATCAGATTCTGAGCTATCAACTGCTATTATAGAATTATTGAAGTTATCTTTTGAGCTATTGACATTGGATTCTGAGCTATCAACTGCTATAATAGAATTATTAACATTGTCTTTTGAGCTGTCGACATTGCCTGTCGTATTGTATTCTTCAGATTCTGAGCTATTAACTATTATTATAGAATTATTAACATTATATTTTGAGCTGTCGACATTGACTGTCGCATTCTGTTCATCGGATTCTGAGCTATCAACTGCTATTATAGAATTAATGACATTATCTTTTGAGCTATTGATATTGGATTCTGAGCTATCGACTGCTATTATAGAATTATTGATATCATTTTCTGAGCTATCAACTGCTATTATAAAATTATTTACATTATCTTTTGAGCTATGGACAATGACTGTCGAATTGTATTCGTCGGATTCTGAGCTATTAACTATTATTGTAGAATTATTGACATCATTTTCTGAGCTATCGTCATTGGACTCTGAGCTATTAACTGCTATTTTAGAATTATTGACATTATCTTTTGAGCTATCGACATCGATTGTCGTATTGTCTTCATCAAATTCTGAGCTATCAACTGATATAATAGAATTATTGACTTTATCTTTTGAGCTATCGATCTTGACTGTCGTATTGTATTCATCGGATTCTGAGCTATCAACTATTATTAAAGAATTATTGACATTTATTATAGAATTATTGACATTATCTTTTGAGCTGTCGACATTTACTGTCGTATTGTATCCATCCGATTCTGAGCTATCAACTGCTATAATAGAGTTATTGACATTATTTTTTGAGCTGTCGACATCGACTGTCGCATTCTGTTCATTGGATTCTGAGCTATTAACTATTATTATAGAATTATTGACATTATCTTCTGAGCTATCGACATTGCCTGTCGCATTGTGTTCATCTGATTCTGAGCTATCAACTGCTATAATAGAATTATTGACATTATCTTTTGAGCTATTGACATTGGATTCTGAGCTATCAACTGTTATTATAGAATTATTGACATCATTTTCTGAGCTATGGACATTTACTGTCGCATTGTGTTCTTCGGATTCTGAGCTATCAACTATTATTATGGAATTATTGCCATCATTTTCTGAGCTATGGACATTTGCTGTTGCATTGTGTTCATCAGATTCTGAGCTATCGACATCAACTGTCATATTGATGCATTCCGGTTTGATAATAATTACTTCGTTTGAATCTGGGTTAGATTTGTTACATTTAACAAAAATGTTTGGAAGACACCACTGTGAACAAAGAATGGTAATGTAAAAGACTGGAAAACCATTTATGTAAGTATACAGGGTGACTTTTAAATCGTTGGCATCCGTTAAAACTAAGACTCTACTCATGGTACATAGTACATTCTCTGAATATGAGACAGTACACTCTTTGGTGAACAGAGTAGGTAAGTGAATAAGGTACGATAATAGAAAATAAGGATACAACTTAGGGGTTTGTTACAAAAAGTTAAGCGGGCGTTGAACACTTGTTTAAATTGAAATTTAGTATAAAAATGTCATTTGAAACACGCGTTTAACGTCTATTTAAGCGTTTTATTATAACACCATTACTGCTTAGTCAATTTGGGTGGCGAAAAGGTGACGTCCATAGTCTTTGCCATATCAACCAATGGGAAAGTTGTGTTTTGACAGCTCTTAAAAAGTACGCTTGACGTACTTGTCCCTTGGGACTGGTGGTGTCAACCACTCTAATACTTGATTATGTAAGTTTGTATCAGATCTAATTTTCAAACCATATTCAGCGTTAGGAAAGGGGGTAGATGAATAAAAGGCTAATATGATAATGAATGAATCGCTAAAATCAAGTCGCAGTGGGCAGGGCACATAGCTCGTAGAGTTGACGGCCGCTGGGGCAGGAAAGTTTTTGAGTGGCGACCACGAGCCGGAAGACGTAGCGTAGGCAGGCCTCCCACTAGGTGGATCGACAATCTGGTGAAGGTCGCGGGAGGCGCCTGGATGCGAGCGGCGCAGGACCGGTCTTTGTGGAAATCCTTGGGGGAGGCCTTTGTCCAGCAGTGGACGTCTTTCGGCTGAAACGAACGAACGAACGAATAAAAGGCTATGTAATACTTACAGCATACTTCGAGCTGAACGTCGTCTGCAGCGGACATTTCTTATGAACGTAGACTCCATCCACACATTTGTAATATCCTCCACAATCTTCCTTATCACGGATGCGCTTGGAACTATTGCAATAACCCTCAGTGGTAACCTCTTGACTTGTCGTAGAAGATTCTGTCGGTTCTACTGTCGTTTCTGTAGGTTCAACAGTAACGTCTGTGGGTTCTACAGTAACTTCTGTCGTTTCTCCAGTAACTTCTGTAGGTTCTGAAGTAACTTCTGTACCTTCTGTCGTTTCTCCAGTAACTTCTGTAGGTTCTGAAGTAACTTCTGTAACTTCTGTCGTTTCTCCAGTAACTTCTGTAGGTTCTGAAGTAACTTCTGTACCTTCTGTAGGTTCTACAGTAACTTCTGTAGGTTCTACAGTAACTTCTGTCGTTTCTCTAGTAACTTCTGTAGTTTCTGTAGGTTCTTCAGTAACTTCTGTAGGTTCTACAGTAACTTCTGTAGGTTCTACAGTAACTTCTGTCGTTTCTCTAGTAACTTCTGTAGTTTCTGTAGGTTCTGCAGTAACTTCTGTCGTTTCTCCAGTAACTTCTGTAACTTCTGTCGTTACTGCAGTAACTTCTGTAGGTTTTGTCGTTTTTGCAGTTACTTCTGTCGTTTTTTTGGTAACTATTGTAGCTTCTGTCGTTTCTGCAGTGACTTCTGTCGATTCTGTGGTAACTTCTGTAGGTTCTTTAGTATTTTTTTTGCCTTCTGTCGTTTCTACAGTAACTTCTGTAGGTTTTGTCGTTTTTGCAGTTACTTCTGTCGTTTCTGTGGTAACATCTGTAGGTTCTGTAGTAATTTTTGTACCTTCTGTCGTTTCTGCAGTAACTTCTGTAGCTTCTGTCGTTTCTGCAGTGACTTCTGTCGTTTCTACAGTAACTTTTGTAGGTTCTGTAGTAATTTTTGTACCTTCTGTCGTTTCTACAGTAACTTCTGTAGGTTCTGTAGTAATTTTTGTACCTTCTGTCGTTTCTACAGTAACTTCTGTAGCTTCTGTCGTTTCTGCAGTGACTTCTGTCTTTTCTGTAGTAACTTCTGTAGGTTCTGTAGTAATTTTTGTACCTTCTGTCGTTTCTACAGTAACTTCTGTAGCTTCTGTCGTTTCTGCACTGACTTCTGTCGTTTCTGTGGTAACATCTGTAGGTTCTGTAGTAATTTTTGTACCTTCTGTCGTTTCTACACTAACTTCTGTAGCTTCTGTCGTTTCTGCAGTGACTTCTGTCGTTTCTACAGTAACTTCTGTAGGTTCTGTAGTAATTTTTGTACTTTCTGTCGTTTCTACAGTAATTTTTGTAGCTTTTGTCGTTTCTGCACTGACTTCTATCGTTTCTGTGGTAACATCTGTAGGTTCTGTAGTAATTTTTGTACCTTCTGTCGTTTCTGCAGTGACTTCTGAAACTTCTGTCGGTTCTTCAGTCGGTATAGGAGTAGCTGTGGTGATCTCGGTCTTGTTGATGCAAGGATTCTGGGTTGTCGTGATGAACTCACGGCACTTCGCAAGCTTGGGTGGGAGACACCACTGTGAAAGAAGATTTGGGTGAATATGAGTCAATTAAGGCTTACCAATGGAGAAACTTTTAAAGCAATATCCAACTAGCGGCCGCCCGCGACTTCGTACGCGTGGATTCCGTTTTACCCCCTTAGGGATGGAGTTTCGTAAAATCCTTTCTTAGCGGATGCCTACGTCATAACATCTACCTGCATATCAAATTTCAGCCCGATCCGTCCAGTGGTTTGGGCTGTGCGTTGATAGATCACTATGTCAATCAGTCACCTTTGAGTTCTAATCTCGCAGAGTTGCTTTATCTGACCTAAAAGATCTGGCTTGCCTCCCCCTAGGCCAGAAACTGGGTATGACTTGCCTCCCCCTAGGCTAGAAGCTGTGTATGACTTGACTCCCCCTAGGCTAGAAGCTGGGTACGCCCGTGAATAGATTTTTGTCAAAAGATATTGTTTTTGTGTCAGTAAAGTGCTGGACATCTTACCTAAACGTAGACGGAAGAATATAAGACACAGCTTAGAAAGTTGCTACATTCCACATGATACAAAAGTGGATTACCATTGATTGAAGTAGACTAAGTAGGTACATACATGCCGTGTGGTTTCGGCTTAGTAAAATATGATCACTGCCACTCTTCCCTTGGAAGTTTTACAAGGTGATAGCGATAAATATGTGGACATCAGGCCTCCCCAACTATCCCCCCGTCTGGCCAGTGTAGGCCAAATCCACCATTTGTCTCTGGTAAATTACAGGAAATGGTAGTGGACTAGGACTAGGTGGACCGACGATCTAGTGAAGGTCACGGGAGGCCTGAATACGGGCGGCGCAGGACTGGTCCTTGTGTAAATCCTTGGAGGAGGTCTTTGTCCAGCAGTGGACGTCATTCGGCTGAAACGACGACTATGAAATTAGAAGGTCACGGGAGGCCTGGATACGGGCGGCGCAGGACTGGTCCTTGTGTAAATCCTTGGAGGAGGTCTTTGTCCAGCAGTGGAAGTCATTCGGCTGAAACGACGACTATGAAATTAGAAGGTCACGGGAAGCCCGGATACGGGCGGTGCAGGACTGGTCCTTGTGGAAATCCTTGGAGGAGGTCTTTGTCCAGCAGTGGACGTCATTCGGCTGAAACGACGACGACGAAATTAGAGGGTCGTGCTCCTGCAATGGAGACTAAATGACTTATGCCCGTTTTAACCATCAATCCCTAATTTTTAAGTGTCCCCTATGGTAATGTATAAGGGGTCATCCATAAAGTACGTCACACGTAAAGAGGGGGGGAGGGGGTTGACAAAGTGTGACATGGTGTGACAAGGGGTGGGAGGGGTCCTAAGTTTTGTGACATCACATTTCAATTGTTTCAAATTTTTGATATAATGTTGATTTCATAAAAAAAAGTGCTTAATTTAAATGGAAATAAAACTAATTTCGGAACTGCTGTTAATTTAATAATTTTTCGATGTGAAATTGCAAAACATGTGACGTCACACTAGGGAGGGGGGGGGTCTCAGAAATGTGACCACCTGTGACAAGGACGGAGGGGGGGTCAAATAATCATGAAATTCGTGTGACGTACTTTATGGATGGCCCCTAACAGGAATTTTGTGTTCAAATGGGTCACTTACAAGTTAGGGTTTATTGGTCGTTAGACTTACCAAGTACACAGGACTAAACTCGTCGATGCCAGGACAAGTCCTTGGCCTCAATTTTCCCTTGACACACTCGTAATACATCCTGCAGTTCCCAGGGTACGGTACATGGTGTGATTCGTCGCAAGAAGGCTCTCGAAAGTCTATACGCTCTACATTCTTGGCTTCAGGGTGTTTGTGGTCGTTTTGGTGAAGGACAGACAGAGAGGCGGAAGACACCCATATTACGAGCAGGAGAAGATGGTACTCTGGAAGAAATCAAAATCAAACTCAAATTATTTATTCTTCTTCTTGTCGTGTCGACAACAAACCTACACAGTGTCAGCCCAAAACTCTGCTACAAGAGTGGCATAACAGTAGCATTCTTCATTAGTACCTAAAGCTATGTAGGCCTTTCCAAGGCACATACACGTCCCAAAATAGCTTCGCGACAACATATTCGGCTGAAGCTGAGTAGTGGCGGAAGAAATGCAGTCTAGTTAGGCCATTTTCAGGGCAGTTATATACTCCTTCTAAATCAGTCTTTCCCAAAGTGGGCGATAACGCCCCCTTGTGGGCGCTGCAGGCTTAAAGGGGGGCGGTAAGAGATCCAGAAAAAAATCGGGACGTTGTGTAGAAGCTTGGGAGGCGTCATCTACTAGGAGGACTCTTAGACACCGACTGAGCTCGACTCTCGACTACAAAAGGGGGCGCTAAAAAAATATTTATTCTCAAAGTGGGCAGTAGACTAAATAAGTTTGGGAACCGCTGTTCTAAATAGAGCTTTCCCTTATAACGCGAACAAAGCAGGTAGGTTTAAATTTTGGAATTCGGGATGATGGTTTCCGCATAGTACTATTATAGCTTGGTGCATCTCGGCATTAGCATTATTATCCATCCACAGCAAAACCCGTGAAAAATATCCTGCATGCCTAGGGCGTACGCCACCATTATTTAACGTGACATTTTAAATCGATTTTAGGTGAGTATCCCGTACATTTAAAGTCTAAAATCTTCTAAAATCCCGTACAATTAAGATTTTAATATTGTGGTGCGCATACTAGGTCGCATTTTTAATTATTTCATATTTTTTGAAAACTAAATAGGTGATTTTTATAAATAAAATAAGGCAAACTGGGGACGCAAATAAATGTTTCTTTGATTAAATTAATTGTTACCTCGTAACAAACATACAAAACATAACAATAGACAACTGAATTCAACCTCTAATTTTTTTAAGTCAGCTAACTATATAAATGGAAACAAATAGGTAAGTATGAGAATGGAAAGTTTTTAAAGAAATTATTTCTCTCACCCATCACACAGGCTGCCAACCATCAAGTCCCTACTGAAAGGTCTGCTCGTGTCCAAGTAATTATTATAATAATAATAATTGCCACATCAATCGATTATAATAATTCGTCACCCTATTTATTTGTTAATCGTTTACGATAATTATATTTTTTTAGGATTTGGTAAGATCGAAGCAGTTTTTGCTTTGAAGTTCAGTATACCTACCTATTATTGGCGAGGGGTTTCCCTACGTGATCGAATCAGAAATGAGGAGATCCGTAGGAGAACCAAAGTAACCGATATAGCCCGTAGAATTGCTAAACTTCAGTGAGAAAGGGCGGGTACATAGCACGTAGAACTGATGGCCGTTGGGGGTAGAAAAGTTCTCGAGTGACGACCACCGACCGGATGACGTAGCTTCAACTCTGTAGTGTAAGTACGTACTGTAGTCCACTCGGACCTCGGTGGACTGATGATCCGTTGACGGTCGCATGAAGCACCTGGATGCGGGCAGTTCTGGACTGGTCGATGTGGAAATCCTTGGGGAAAGCCTTTGTCCAGTTTTACAATTTAAGAACTTGATTCAAGTTTTTATAGGNACCAGACATTACATTAGCAACATCTTTTCTCAGCCGATATCTTGACAAGCCAACAAGAAGCTTGTGGAATGCAGCAAAGAGGATACTGCGTTACCTAAAGGGAACTGAAAACAGAGAACTTACCTATATGAAGAAAGAAGATAACACTAACACTTATTCTATTTCAGCCTTTTCAGATGCAGACTGGGCCAGTAATAAATCTGACAGAAAAAGTGTCAGTGGCATGGTCATTTATCACAGAGAAAATCCTATATCATGGTCGGATGACCATGGATTCCTGGATGGAAGCAGCAAGCTGTCGCCCTGTCAACTGCGGAAGCAGAGTATGTCGCCGCCGCTATGACTGTGAGCGAGCTATTATTTGTGAGGGGACTTGCAATCGATTTTCAAGACAAAAGTGATGCAGTGTTATATGTGGACAATCAAAGTGCGATTAAAACTGATTATAATGGTGATGAACAGTGAAAACACTCGACATTCGAAGCACATAGACATTAAATTTCATTTCGTGAAAGACATAGTTTGTAATATAATAATATTGTAAGTGTCAAATATGTAAGTACAAACGAAAATACGTCAGATATTTTGACTAAATCACTGTGTAATATCAAGTACAGCCCCCCTAGACAAAACGCACTTTTTGATCGAATCGAAAATCGAATCCGTCAAAACTCCATACAAAAAAGGGGCTTTTCGACCACTTTTCGACTGGTTTGCGATTATAATTTGCACTTTGTCTAGACCCACACTTATTTTCGTGAGAAGTTATTAGTTTTGTAGTGATTTCATTTAAAGTTTTGTTTACATTAATAGAACAGCGTGAAGTGAGTTGCATGTGTCACTAGTTGTCATTAATGTCAGTTTCTGAAATGTCAAATTCTTTTATAATGTTGCCATAACTTAAACATAAGTGGAATATTGTTAATAGAAGTTTTTAGTAGTAGATAAAAATTATTTTGTTTTGCAATTAAAAGTTAAAGCCTAACTTGTAATTGAGAGGGAGTGTTAGGATTATATTATTATCTTTGGAAGTGTATTAAATATTTAAAAGTTAACTGTTTCCGGTAGAACGCTCTTCCCTCTTCCGGCTATGTACAAATAAGATGTGTCTGTGTAAGATCCCGAATAATAAGTACAAAATACAAATACAAAATTTTTTTTTTTTTTGTATTGAAATAAAATATTTTGTATTTGTATTTTGTATTTTAATAAGTGCTTATCTCGCTAACTATCGGTCTTTTCATTAAAGAAACACAAGTTCTGATAATTTTTTCTTAGATTTTATCGCATAAAAAAGGAATATGTTATTAATTAGTAATATTTATAGCTGTAAATTACATGCCGATGTGAGTTTTATATAATGTAATAAAGAATCGTTGTTTTTGGGACAAGTTAGTGCTGCAGCAATAAAATCAGGCGCGCAAAATCCCGGTTCTGATTCCAAAATCCGGAACCAGGTCGAAAGTCAGTAGCGGTGACACTTCAGCTGATGAATTAGAATCCACGCTTAGCCTCCTGATTCTCTTGGGTTATCTTTCTACTCCAACCAACCCAGATCACCCCAAAAAGCGAATAGCCTGTCCAGGCTGCTGCATTCATCTGGTTATAAAGCTGGTGATTTAAGAATTTCAGCCAGTTCGACTGCTGCATAGTCTCCCTGAGAGTTCCAGAGATCCATTTCCGCTATCTTGTGTTTCCACTGTAAGTTGGATATCAAATTATCTTCAATCGAAGACGTGAACATAATTCGGTACCAGTTGGCGTCAATACCCCTCGTATTTCTTTAAAGGTCTTGCAAGATTCCCATGTGTCCTGTCTGTATTTGCTTCTCCTGGATGGTAAAAGGAGTCTGAGATTCAGGAGGTACTCCAACGACGCTGATGGAGTCGTTTTCATACATCCAAATGCAGCTATACTTGCAAGGCTTTCCAGACTTTAAAGTGGTTTTTTTTACTTTGTTTTCAGTTTTTTCTAAAATATACTTATTTTTTATATCTCAAATAAGGAATAGCTTAAGGTATATTTTATAGTAATTTTCATTTAAATAACTAATTTCTACTAACAAATAAACCAAGTTTTAATTTAGGTACTACAAAGCTGGCAATGTGCACTTAAAGATACATACTATATTTCCAAAAATACATACCTAAGATTTTTTTCGTATTTTTACATGGTTTTTTTACTAGTCCTAAATCCAATATTTATAGTGATTTTTTTCGTATTTTTTACATGGTTTTTTTACTAGTCCTAAATCCAATATTTATAGTGTAAATCACAAATATTAACCAAAACCGTCTTTGCCAAGTATAGGGTTAAGGCGATACCACGCGATACCTCGTCAATTTGTTTTCAACAAGTTCCGCCCATTCCCTCCGCAGGCTCCGCACCCCCGAAAGCGTCACTCCTCGCGAGGAGTCGCTCGCTTAATCGTAAGTTGAATAATTTCTCTCTTTTATTATGATGTACCATGGACATTAGCAAAAACAAAACAAAACTAGTGTAAAATGGGATTGAAAAAAACTGGCCCAAATTACCGGACTCTCCCTTATGAAGCTCAACGACTCGGAAGTCATTTTCTTTGCTCTAGTTATGATGGGCTGCTAGCTGCTAATGAATCAGTAGAAGTAAAGCTTTTTAGCAATAGAATACTCATAGACGGTGCTCTTTATCACATAAGGCATTTATTATTTTGAGTTATACTTTAATATTTAATTGAAGGTTCGCGTTTATTTTAAAACTCGAGCTCTTTTGAAGGCGTGACCTCTTTTGATAGGTTTGCGCTTTTTTGAAGCCCCGTGGCTTCGAAAGTAGAACTCGACGCCTCGAGGTTTGTTCATCACTAGGTCGATATGGTGCAGGCGATACTAAAAAAAAATACATAAAATACCCAGAAAATGTCAACCAATAATAAAAATGTTACTTTTTGAAAAAATCTGCATTTTAATACGTGTTTTTTGCTTATTAGATTTTCTCCCTCAAATGCCCTTATAACAGGTGGTTTTTATTACTTTGTGTTATTCTCTATCGTATTACCTTTGTAAAACCAAAAATCTCATATGTCTCTATCCCTATATTCCCTATCACAACATTTGTTATGTAAAAACTCAGTAACTGACCGTTTTTGTTTTAAAAAAGATAATCTGGCTCTCTTAGTAAATTAGGTAAGAGGGGTAACAGATATTCGTGTCAATCACTTTTCCAATTGTATAAGCCGATACTGAATTCAAAATTGATAGTTTTTGGATACGACTAACTTCGAAGGGCCAATAACTTGATATTTAAGGTTGATAAAGCTGCGGTTGGTCTCAAATTATTCCCTTAATTATTAAAGTGATAAAAATATTAAAATCCTTATTAACTTAACA